GGAGGTCAGCCGGCGCTCTCCACCTCGGATAGTGGGCGTATCCGGGGCAGTCGTTTCCTTGGTCGCGCGGTGGGCCCAATGCTCGACGGGGATCGATCCCCGGGGCCTGCTGTCGGCGAGTGGTGGCGGCGCAGCGAGGCGGTGGTTCGCTGGCTCGCGGGAGGCCAGAGAGTGGGCCAAAAGTGTTACAACGATTCACTGCATGCGCGCGCACATATCGCATGCACGATGCCCAATCGCGGGTCCATCGTGGTCACATCATGACAAGACAAGACAAGTGCGCGTCCAAGCACATCGTCACCATCCACCGTTCACCTACGATCGACCCATTGTCCTCTAATTCCAAGCGTCTAACACCCGACCGCCCGCACGCACAGACTTCGGGGAGAGGCTATATCAAGGTTGACGCACAGATTTTGCTAAGCGCATGGAACTAAGAAGTCGTAAACTACACTCCTAAAATACTATTTGGCCACTTACGTAATTTACCCATAAAACCTGGTTGAACCGCCTGACCAAGTAGCCACGCCACACTCTCGACGGGGACCTCCCGCTCGACGCCCCTCATGGACTCCCTTCGGCGGGTCCATTACCTCGCCTCGGCCCTCCGTCTCTCGATCAACCCAGACTGGCTACCCACCGAGTCCAACCTGTTGGCAGATGCCTTGAGTCGGACGCGGGACACGGAGGATTGGCCCTCCATCCGCGGGCGTTTCATGCGCTCTACCAAACTTGGGGCCCCTTCAACATCGACTGCTTCGCGACCACCACCAACTGCCTGGTGCCGACCTTCAACAGCTGCTGGTGGTGCCCGATGACGAGCGGCATCGATGCCTTCGCCCAGACCGAATGGGGGCTGCACAACAACTGATGCAACCCCCCCTTCACCCTCCTCCATCGCTTGGTGAGCCTTCTAGAATCCCTGCCCTGGGTGCGCGCCACCGTGCTGGCCCCGATCTGGCCGGCTGCGCCTTGGTTCCGGCGCCTTCTCCTACTCGCCGACGCGACTTGGGAGCTCCCAGTGACCCCTGATCTCTTCACGGCGGGGTGGACGGGCACCTCCTTGGGCCCCCTAAGGTGGCGGGTCCTGGCAGTTCGAATTGATCGCTGCGGTTCTCCCCGCCGGGCCTCCCCCTCCCCTTGCCGCCATGCTCGGAATTAACGGCCTCCATTCTGTGCGGCCTGTTTTCCATTGCCGACTTCTCGCTGGAGCTTCCGCGGCTCCGCCTCGAGGAGCGGCTGGCCGTCATGCAGTCGCTGGTGGAGGCCAACGCCCCGTCGGGCCGCAAGGCTATTTGGCGAAAGTTCCAAAAATTCGCCCGCATGTGCACCGCCCGCGGATGGCGGGCCCTCCCAACCTCGCCCGAGATGCTCTACGCCTTCGTGCTCTTTTTAAAGGCCGAGGGCCGGGTATCCGTGGACTCGGCCGGGGGCTACCTCTCCGCCATCTCTACGGTCAGTGCGTGGGCGGGCCTGGCAGGGGGCTCCGCCCATGACGCCATTACTGCCCGCCTCTTGCGGGCCTGGCGCGTCAACGCCCCTCCGGCCGCCTACCGTGACTCCGTCCTCGCCTTTCCGGTGGAGGACCTCTTCCGGTTGGCTACCATGGCGCTGGCCGAGCCCAATCTGCATTGGGTTCGGCCTTTTGTGTCCCTCATCCTAGACACCGTTTTCTTTTTGCGGGCGGACTCCGGCTTCCATATTCTCCTGGATGACCTCTGGCTCGGCAACCCCGCGGGCGACTCTACCGCTTCCTGCCCCACATATCTCTTCTTTCGTGAGCGGCGCCACAAGTCCAAGTCCACCAGGGCCCTCCTCTGGCGCATTCGGGCCTTCGACTACCGCGGCTTCCCCGACCTGGCCCGGGTCGTCCGTGATTGGATTCGCCTGCGCGATGCTTGCCGGGCCCAGCACCTTCCGGGCCGCCGCGGTCACATCGAGTTCTTCTATGGCTTTCCTTCCGATGCCCACCCCCCTTCCGCCCGTGCCGTCCAGGCCTGGTTCCTCGAGGCCGCCCGGCACCTCACTTCGGCGGGGCAAGACTACCGCCACCACTGCGTGCGGCGTACGGGGGCGTCCTCCGCGTTTGCCGTATTGGTGCCTGAGGCCCAGGTCCGTAATTGGGGGTGGTGGGCCCCGGGGTCCGCGGCTTTATGGAAGTACGTGGATTTGCAGCGGCGTCCTACGGAGTATGACTACCGTCTTTTTGGCTGGATGCTTGTCGCGGCTGACTCCATTCGCGACGAGATTCGTGACATATTCTCTGCGCCGTCTCCTCCTGTCCCGTCACCTTGATGGGGGTTCTCTTTCGTTCCCCCTGTACTTTCCGGCCCTGTGCTTTGGGCGCTTGGCGCACGGGCCGTATTGTTTGGAGGTGGGCACTCTTTGGATTGCGGGTGAAATACCCGAATTTGGATACATGGATAAATACGTGTTTCTGTGGGATGGTGACGAACTGGTGTTTGTATTGGAATTGGATCAGGTGGACATTTTGTCACGATTGTGACGTTCTGAATATGTAATTGTAATTACATGTTCAGCCTGCCATTGGGCGGGAAGATCGCAGGGCTGTACCGTAAGGGGTGGTTACGTTTAGTAAGCTAGTTTACGGGAGGCCCGAAGATGGGCGGGCGAAAAAATTGCTGCCCCGACTGTGTCCTGTCAGCGGGGCGCCCAGTTTGGGCGGGAACAGTCTGGTTCTGGGGCCCCAAGGGCGGCCACGGTCCTTGGGGCCGGTTTTGGCTTGATCGGGGCCTGTTACCGGCGGCGCCGAGGCCTTAGGAGGCGACGCGCCGTCAGGCTGCACTTTGTTTTCTCCCCGCCCGCCCTCTCCTTGGTTGTTTGGGTTGTTTTTTGATATCGTTGGGACTTCGCTCGAGATGAACATTTGGGACCGGAAAAGGCACTCTTTGGATTGCGGGTGAAATACCCGAATTTGGATACATGGACAAATACGTGTTTCTGTGGGATGGTGACGAATTGGTGTTTGTGTTGGAATTGGATCAGGTGGACATTTTGTCACGATTGTGACGTTCTGAATATGTAATTGTAATTACATGTTCAGCCTGCCATTGGGCGGGAAGATCGCAGGGCTGTACCGTAAGACCCGGACCACATGGGGCGTCAGTTCACGCGATGATAATCGTCATCTACTGTATACTTTTGATGTAAATTATCATGACGGCCCGAATGAGTACCACAACGGCGTGGCTGCCCGCACCAAGCTGGTCATCGTGCGGTGACCCAAACAACGGCTGAGAATTTTGCACCAGGCACATTCTCTTGTGCCGTCAAATTTGAGTGCATTTGCAGCTGGGGCTTTTGCAACAAACCAGGTGGCACACCGGGGCCAGTCCACACAGTATCGTGGCGACACATGATAGTGGTGCCCATTCAAGTCGCCCGATCACCAGAATGTCTATGTGGCTTGCTTAAACGCTGGGCGCTGTGCAGTAGCCTGGGCATTCGCTGCTGCCACTGGGTCTTCGCTTGTCGTTTTCCGGTTCCCGTTTCATGCATTACACGATAGTTACCACAGCATGCCGCTGTGAAAACAGCTGGATGCTCATAGCGTGGGTGGTGGCATCACGAACACCAACACCCGGCAGGCTGACCGGCCAACACCGCCCGCAGCAGCCTCACCCATGGACTATGCACGTACAAGCACGTCCATGGTCATGCACGTGCGAAGGAGGTCGCTATCTTCTTCATTCCATTATGGTGTGGGTCAGACGCACAACACTGACTCCATGCAGGATGGCTTGGGTTTGAAATTTTGTAGATCCACAAGCACGGGGTTGGGACACAGCATTTCTTGGTGCTGCCACTCCGTGTTAGCTGATTGACAACGACAACACACACACAGTCTGCAGCAGCGTTCTCGAGCTAAAGTCAGGTTACCAAAGCAATTAGGGGATCAAGGCCTTCGTCCGATAGAAGCACATGTGTATTCAATGTACCGCAGCTGTGGAGAGGAGACGGGTGTGGTGTTCGCACTGCCATCAGCAGCCAGTTAAAAAGGTTTGACCAAACTAGGCTGCGAGGCGAGGTGGTGCCTGCAGCCCCATCATTTATTCAAAAAACAAAACACGTCCTCACAACCCTATCCTAAAACTATGCGAAATGCCCCTGCACACAGGACGCAAAAAATTTTGGCTTGGGAACTTGAACAAACCTGTTGCACTCGTGCAAACAAGGCACGTTCCAGGTCCACAAGGGGGAACTGGCATGGGCGCAGCAACAGTGCACGTCAGCCTATCAAGGGCTGGCTGCCGCCAATGCCGTCCCTGACTTGACTGCCCAAGCAAGACGCACCTTGATGCACAACTGCGACCCCAACACTATGGCCGCTCTGGGCATCTCGCAGACGTCCCCTCGCCAGATCCAGCCAAACCCCACGACCCCACACATAGACACTCAGCCGATCCACGGGTTTCCTGCCCTGCTGTGACACACTCTCTGCCGCTGACCCTAAATCGAAGCAAACGCACGAAGCCTGCACGACCACTCACCTAAAGGGCGAGCCTCCACCCCAAACAGCAACCTGCAGCCAACCACTTCCTCAAAATTGCTGTGCACTGCGAGTATTTGTTCCCCCGAGGCAGCTTTTATGGCTTTTTCCCCAGTTCTTATCTGGTTTGTGTCAGTTTGGCGCCTTGTGTCTGCGCCTCCAAAACTGCGCCTTTGTCCAGTGACAGCACCAGGCATGGGCGTCGAACAATGTAACGATCACTTCAGCGATGGAAGCACAGAAGCCCGTCAACACCTCCATCGTCATACACAAGCCATCACCTGCAGTCATGCCTCCCACTGCCAGCATCTCTACGTCTCTTGCAACCACTGGCCTGGTATGGTTATCAATACTGGACCCCAGTACAGAGGCATGGCCCTGATTGTGAGCACCCAATTCCTGAGGATCCATTGCAACAGCTCCGTGCAGGGGCCACTCACTGTGGGCACACCTGTGCTTGAATGGGCATGTCTTCCAGGCCACTCTCAACTCAGCTTCCTGGCTTGCCATCGTCAAGGGACACCATGTTGAGCCCCATCGTGATGGCAGAGATGTCCATGTCCGTTGTGTAAAGTCCCACTGTCTGCACGGACAAAAACAGCCAATTTTGCTCCAATCTTGCTTCTATCATAAAGGCAAGAATAGAATTGTGTTGGCTCTTTTGGTACTGATTGCTTCATAACGAAAAGATGGCCTAGCTCTATGGAGATGGGTGCATTCGCCAAACACGATGTATGGCAAAGGAGAGACCACGAAATAGTAAAACAGCAGTATCTTACCGATGTGCTGATGTGTCTGTGTGTTTTGATATTCATGGTCAAACAGGCTGCCTGATTCCTGTGGGCAGCGAATGAAAAAAATGACGGAACAGGCACCTCAAGCGATCGCCATGCTCACACTGCAGCAACGTCCATCGTGATATGGAGGACATGGCGTCCTTTATACGACAAGCATAAGAAACTCGTTTGTTGGCCAATGCTTCACACCGGAAGTCCAATCCGCCTGGCAGGTTGATAACCAAACATCCAGTGGACTGCCATGCGTTTGCCGGTTGCATGCTGTAGTTTAGCACATGTTGCACACGACAATGTGCAACATAGGATCCCTTTCCAATGGCAAAAGGGAAACTCCAAGCCCATTAGGGCAACCAGGCCAGACAATATTTGAAAAAATTGGAACACATGTAACTTACACCATCAACAAAAAAAGCAATTAAAACCATTATAAATCAATTCACAATATGACGAAAACTGGAAAGTCAAACACAGTGTCAGATGCAGACGACCAGATCCTGTAACCCTCCTAACAACCTTTCCTGTGACAAATGGGTTCACTTGGCCCACTTCACGTTCCTCCAAATGAGATGCTTTGAACAGGAACGCTCATCTGCAATCGTTTCAGTCCGCAGGGCGCTCCTGCCACCCTGTACACCCTGTTCCCCGCCGCCATTTTGAATCTGGGTGGGGCCGGCATCTCCACTCTTCTGGTGACGCGCGGTCTACAGGAAGGGGCCCGCTCCTAGGCCCCATTTTCGGCTGGGCAAGTGACAGCGCTAGAATTTCCAAATTCGCGGGACAGGTGGCACAAGTTCAAAGTATTGCCATTTCCACAACGTTTACTTGTTCTCCACTAAATTTAGGGGGCACGCAACACTGCATGTGGTTTCTGGTCCGATTACCAAGCAAAACGCCACCTTGTGATAAAAGTGTGGCCTCACCAACAAATAACCTCATCATTCTGGACAGATGACGTATGCAAGCACATGTGCTATTGATGGGGCACGATGCACGACAGATAAATTCGGAAGGTTTTGCTAACCCAAATTGCGTCACTCCCACACGCAGGATGCAAGTTAGCGCGACCAACGATGAAGCAATACGGGTACCCAATTGTGGCTCCCGCGACGAGTTTCTTTCGTCCTGCAACAATATGGATTTCACATGCTGGGTTACGAATGAACATTGGTTTGGCGAGCGAGAAGCCCACTGCATTATCAGGGCGGCGCTTTGAGTTTCCGCCTGCCCGTTGCTCAAGAGCGTCTCAATGTGAGAATATATTAGTCCCACTGTCACTACCGTGAGGATCCCTTCTCTTCCCCTGCCAAGGCCAGTGCGGGTCTGTGGGTCAGTTGTGTAGGGTTCACGGTGTCCGAAACAAGAAGGGATCTTCACGGAAGACAGACAGAGGGACTAATTGCATGCCGTCCCAATGTACCGGACCCGGTCACCGCCGCCGGTGGGTTGAGCGGGGGTCGCGTCGCACGACAGAGTTGGTCCTCCGAAGGGGCTGGCCCCAGCGGCCACAGGAAGAGTCCAGGGCGCCTGTCACTCCCCAGTACCAAAATCCACCACGCGGCCAAGGGGTCAGTACACCCAGGAGGGGTCGGCGAGTTGACGTGGGGTCACGTGCGTCCCACGTGACAAATCCCGTACGCCTGCCACAGCGGGCTCGATCAGGGCCCTGATGATCGGGAGCCCGCCGGGCGCCCGCTCCTCGCCCACGATTTCGGCGATCCGCCAGCGCGCCGGGGGGTCACAGAATCCAGGGCTATCTCGAGCGCGGCGCCCGCCCCACCTCAAAGCAGGATTGCAATCGCGTGATGGCGGTCCCGAAGGGCACGTCCTTGTCGTGCCACAGCAGCTCCACCACCGCCGCCGCCTCGCCGCGCTCGCAGCCCCTGTACACCGGCACCGCGCACATCGAGTGCAGGTTGCACGAGGCGGCCTCCTGGGCCCGCAGGTACGCGGGCTCCTTGAACGTCTGCACGTCGCCGCAGAACTCCGGCTGCAGCGCAGGCGGGCCAAACCGACCCGTCAGACCCAGGCCGGGGTGGGGGGGCACCCGGCGCCCCGGTGCACGTCACCTCGCGGGTCAGTTCGACCGGGGGTACCCACCTTGCCGGTGGAGAACACTCGCCCCACCACGCCCATCTCGTCGGGCACCACGGGAGAGAACCGCCTGGAGCAGCACAGGTAGCGGAACTGCGCCAGCATGTCGCCCATGCCGTAGATGGACACTGGCAGCCCCTGGATGGGGGCGATCAAGGTCAGCCTGCTGGGCGGACGTCAAGGGGAAGCGGCAGTCGCGTTGCGGCTGAAGCCGCAGGGGCACCTCCGGCGGCGCCGGTGCAAGCGCGGGCCCGCACCTTGGTCTCCAGGTACACCGCGCCGGAGACGTCCGTGCGCGGCCGCCATGCCTGCATTGCCAACAAATGGGCCCCGCCTCAAGACCACGCACCACACAACAGTACCGCGGCCTTCCGGGGGGCCAGCCTCCTCCCGGACGGGCGGAAGGCCGGATGGCTGCCTCTGGAGCCAGGCGCGGCCGGTCGCGACACAACTCCGCGCGGTTCCGAAGCATCTGGAACGGAGTCCGATCGAGGCCGGCGCCCCCGGGGTGGGGTGGCCCCAGCCCCCCGCCGCCCGCGCCGCACCTGAATCAGCGTGCCCGTGGTGGCGTGCTTGTGGGCGTCCGAGTTGAAGGCCATGAAGGCCTGCGACATGCGTTTGTCCAGCTCGATGGCCTCTGCGCTGTCGGCGCCACCGAAGCCTTCCCCGCTCGACGCCTCGCCCGCCATCCCCGACGCTGGCGCCGGCGCGCGAGAGCCTCACTGCTGGCCCCCGGGCCCCAGCAGCATGCCCGGACAGGCGCGGCACCCGAACGCGCCAGGAGCACGCGACGCCTCCCACCCACACGGGCGCACTCTCGCCGCGCCGCGACCGGCAAGCCGATTCGAATCTCCACCGATCCGGTGCCCTTTCGCCGAGCTCGCCGGATGCAAGGCCTCCCGGCGGGCCGCCCTGAGGTTCAGATGGCGCCCGCCGAACGGCGTGCGGTGGCGCGCGGTAGAAGGGAGGAGGGGGGGGGGGCCTGACGACGCTGCCGCACAGCCAAGGCCGTGTTAAGGGCGGTGCCCGGATCCTGCCTGGGGCTTACCTGGACGTATTAGTAGAGTGGGAGAAGCGGGGTGAGGGCTGGATCGAGTAGGCTGTCCGACCCGCCCCTTCGCGCCCAGGGGGCGCTGGGGACTGGCGGGCCGACGACTCTCACCCCCCGCCAGGGTGAGTCAACAGGCCCCCAGGCGCACTGACGAATTCTGCCCTCCCCAGAAACCCCCGCCAGGTGCGCCCATGACCACATCGATCAGGCGTCCACTCAGCACGTGCTTTTGGGCTGCCAAGCGCCACACCCAGGCGCCTCCCCGGACCCGGCTGAGATTCGGGTTCCCACGCATAGCCAACGCGTGTGTGGTTGTGACCCGACCTTCCGACTCAGACCTTCCGACAAGGTCCGGGGTTAATTGGTTCACAGACGATGACGCCTTGAGCGCGTCGATCAACCGAGGACTGTCATTCGTCAAGACGAACAGGCAACGTTGCGACCCGGGGGGGTGGTCTGGCCTCGGTTGACCGCCGATGACGTACCGAACGCGAGGGGCCCTCCTCCAGGGCATAAAATTACTGGCTGTACCAAATCGGTGACTGCTTGCACCAAGTCACGTGCACATCATGTCCAACTCCGTCCAAACTAACCTAACCTAAAACCTAAACCCTAAGACCTAAACCTAAACCTGTCCTAACCCTAACCCTAACCCTAACCCTAAAACTCACCCCGAAACTAAACCTAACCCTAAAATTGAGTTTAGGACAAAGTGTGCACGTGACTTGGTGCAAGCAGTCACCGATTTGGTGCAGCCAGTAATATTATTTCCTCCTCCATCTGGCTGGTGCGACAGGCCACTCGTCGAGTTTGTTCGTTGGCCAAATGGGGAGCGGCCGTCCAGCGGCGGTCGGCCTGCGAGAATTGGGGCCCTGGGGCCCGAACCCTCACTGACCGCGCTCGTAGTCATGACGCCGCCCGCCGTGGCGTCTGCCCCAGAGAACAGCTACGAAATCAGAGCAGGAGGGACGGCGGCACGGTCACACCCCACCCCCCGACGGAAGGGCTCGCCGTGGCGCGCTAGTGACCTCGACGCCAACCCGTTGTTCTCCCTGAGGACTGGACCACCCGCCATTGAAAATCCTCCCTGGCTGAACTGCAGCGATTGTCAGAGCATCTTTATCGGTCGGCGCTATTGTTCCGGCGGAGCTATTCGGCTATCCGAATAGCTCCGCACGTCAAAAAACCATCATTAACGGTTGGGGAGCAATAACTCCCCAATAGCTCCCCTGGAGCTATTCGGCGCCCAGCGGAGCTATTCGGGGCCAGAATAGCTCCGCTCGAGACCGAATAGCTCCCCAGAATAGCACCGGTGCTATTCGCGCAGCACTTGGCGGCGGCTGCTTGGAACAACGCGGAGGGGCCTTAGGACAGCGGAAGGGCCTTGGGACAGCCGAACCATGGATGGGAACGGCTTCGACGCGGATCTGCACGATCCACAGATGCGAACAGCCAGGCCTTCGCCAGGCTCTGATCGTCGGCCGGGATCCACTTGTCGCCACGCCCCATTCTCTTTGTTCGCCGAGTGTAGGTGGCTCACGGCTCAGGTCAACACTTGGTCAACGCTTGGCGACCGTCGTGGGTCGGCGAGCAGCAAGTGTGTTTGTGTTTGCGCGGACAGCAAGGCTGTGTGGGTTTGTGTGGATGAGGGCGTGTGGGAGTTTCCTTGCAAATAGCACCCCCCGTTACGGATGCCCACGGGGTGCTACTGCTCCCCAAGGCATCCACCGTTACGGATGCACGCCCGGTGCTATTGCTCCCCAATAGCACCGGCGCTATTTGGCAAATGCCACCTTAGTAAGGTGGCACGGCAGCCAATGAGAACCGTTCCTGAATAGCTCCGCCGGAACAATAGCGCCGACCGATAAAGATGCTCTCAGAGGAAGCTGTCACGCCCTCCAGGACGACCGCTGACAGAGAGCCACATGATGTTCGCGGTTCACAAGTTTAAGTCCCGTTACTTTTGTCTGGATGCGTCAATGGTCCGCTATGGTATGCGCGTGCATCTGGGATCCATTTTTGTCATTTGGCACCATAGCAGGGTCCAAACTTGTCACCGGCGGGGATTCATGATTTGTGATTCGCGTTTGAATGGAGTTCACACAAACTACACCAATGAGATCGTGGTGCTGCTACATGGAATAGGGGCGCATACGCCCCCACATTGAGACTGGCGGAGGCACGTCTGCCGTTGGAGCCGATCAGAAAAGCTGAGCGCCAATGAATGCATGGCCTCCGTCAGTCCGACAACAGCTGGCGCACCTACTGGATCATGCCTCACTTGGGTGCCATCATCAAGTGGGCCGTGCTGTAGATGATCACTGCAGACTTGACCGTGAACGTAAAAGTGCAAAGTCCAGTCCTCCACGTTGCGCCGCTGAGAGGTGTCAGAATCATCATTAGCGGCTCAGCGTTGTGTTAGACACCGGCTGGCCCGCCCTGACTTTGGTGCTTCAACAACGGCAAGGTGGAGAGTGCATGCGTATCCGATTAATGCACAATACGAATTGGTGCACATGGGAACCCCAATTGCAGGAGATGAAGACACAATGCAGTGGGGACAAAAAGCGCCGGGGCGACGGGCGCACCAAAATGTCCACAAGGTATTGGTTGGACGCACTTCGTTCATGTTTCTGGTCTCACCGCCCACCGCCAGGGCGTCATCCTCATTGTTTGCAGCATCAAAAATCCTAAACACTAAAATCCCTGGTACGGCCACCGGCGAGACGACATGACCCCACGCAATAAAGACCTGCATAACCCCGCAGCCATCCAGTCCTCTCGCCAGTCGAAATTCCTAAACTACCTGTGTCGTCTGCCATGCAGTGGCCTCTGCAGCACTGACACCTGCCAGCCCACGGAAGCGAAGGCGCTCCACACAACTTATTCTTATTCACCAGCTGGCCTAATAGCGGGCGCCTAAGAATGTGGCACCTACGTGACAAGCTGCGCGCATGCCGAACTATGTGTATAAAGTGATTCTGCCAACCATGTGTATGCATTGACTGAACCATCCGATCCAAAAGGCGTGTGTGCAGGATCAATTGGGGTGCACCCTCTGCGAGAGCACAGCGCCCCGCTTCAGGGCGTTGCTGATGAAGCGCTGATGGTACATGCGACTCGTGGCGCAGGGAGGTGTTGCAAACCGAATCACAGAACCAGGCGACCAGCAGGGGCCAGGACGTCAGAGCAAGGGCACGCAAAGCTGGCCTGGTTTCATGTCGGCTTCCCTCTGCCTTCATCCCAACTTCATCTCGGCTTCCCCTCTTCCTCGGCTACTGATGCGCACTTGCCAGGCCCGGCGGGTCAGGGGAGCTCGGTGCTCTGTGTCGTCAGGTGCCCTGCCTGGTTTTGGGCGACCGCAATTGAGCCCGCCCGCCCCATATCCCAACTCTGCGACTTGGCAGACAGTGGGTTCTCCTTGGCGTACAACATTGTCTCCATCTTAGTCATCTTGGCCGCCATCCTCATGCTGCTCTCCCTGGACTTGTACAGGTCGTTCCTCAGCACGATGCACTGCTCCTTCAGTTCAGCCAATTCCATTTTCGACTCCACCAGGTTTTGCATGATGTGGTCGATCTCCTGGGAGAGGTCAGGCGCCTGGTCACCGGAGTACTGGCGCTCCATCTTCACAAGCAACATGTGGGCATCCTCCTGCAGCTTAGCGTTCTTTGCTGACACCTCCTTGAGGGCTACCTCCACTTCATCTTTCTCCCGGACAAGTGCAGCCCTGCATGAATTGAACGGAAGTGATGCAAACATCAACCTGTACCAAACATGCCCGGAGCACTGCCAGCCAGTCCCCGACACGGTGAGGACAGTACTTGACGACAGCTGAGTCCATTCCCAACGAGTGAATGAGCAGCCCAGCCAAACCTTTCAGTTTCATGGATTCAATAGTAAAGGGCGAATGGCTTGTGGTGACCAACCTAAATCAATGCAAACAAATTCGTTGGGCATATCCATATTGCATCAGTGAATCCGAGGCATTCACAATCGCCCGATTGGCAGCTAACCCAGAACTCAAGCTGGAAGTCTATTCAACTTCTTTCCCATCATGTCTCAAATTGCTGACGGTTGAGTCCCTTCTACTACCTAGGTAGGAAACAATGTCAAGCACTTCTGTACTTGGAAATGATGGCAGGTTTTGTCCCTCCATTGCGTGCAACGACAGTCAATGCTGGACACAACTAACAAGGCCACTGGAGTCGAACACTGGACCAATCTGACAACAGCATGATGAGCACGCCCACCTTTCATCAATAGCACACTTGGCACGTTCATTGGCTTCCTGCAAGGCAGCTTGGGCTGAAGCCAGCTGCTTCTTGAGCACACTGGGTTCATCGACAGTCTCATCCTTCATGCCCTGCACAGAACCCTGTGCACCAAGTGCAGCGCCCTGCACAGCACACATCCAAATCTTCAGCATGAAAATTAACAATCACACACACACACACACAGAGGAAACACGCCAGTGTCCTGTTATAAGGAAAGTCGATGGTCCTGCACATGGAGCAGCACAAGCACTATGTGCGAGACAATGAACAGCAAGTTTCAGCACACAAATTTGCAACTTGCACCAATTTACACTCGATGTGTGTCTCTATGTGCAGGGATTTGAATTTGCAAACTGTCTTGGCTGCCTGGCAATTCTGCTGCCAATCAACAGGTGCCCTTCAGTACTTTGCCGTCATATTTCATGCCTTGTGTACTTGGTGCCAGGGTGCATGCACAGGTAGCTCCAGCATGCATGACACAGCCACAAAGCCTCCTGCACATCTCAGGGATTGACAACGATCAAAACACAGCGGAAGAGCACCACAAGGGAAGGCGTTGGCTACAATCGATCTTCTGAAGCACAAAACTCTCCACAGTGGGCGCCACCACGTTCTCAAGCAACACACCTCGAAGATCGCCAATCCACGAGCAACACGGCTGCCAAGTTTTGGCACGGCGGGCTGTGCCTTGTCGTTTGCTGCCTTGAGATCCTCAAGCTCCTTCATCTTCTTTGCCAAATCATCCTCAAGTTTGTTGTTCGTTAGCGACAAGGCCTGTACTCTCGCCACAGCCTCTTCAAGCTGCACACGTTGATCATCCAGCTGCTCCTGCAGGTGCTCCCTGTCCCCCTCAAGACTGGATACAACTTTCTTAAGGTCGTTAACCTCGGCCTCAGCATCTGCCCTGCTAGGACGCTTTGAGAGCAGCTGTGGCAGCAGCTGATCTTAAGCCTTCTACCTCTGTCTTCATACTGGCATTCTCTGCTTTCAGATCCTGAATCTCAGTCAAGAATTGGCTGCTTGAGGTCTCCAAGCTGGCCAGCTCTGTCCTTAGGTTTTCGTTGTCCTGCATCATTGCTGTGGCAGTGCTTGAGCTCTTACTCAACTCCACGTTTGTCTCACGCAAGACCTTCACTTCATCCTGCAGATTCCTGTGGTCAGACTGGAGCTTGGACAAGTCGTCGTTCACCGATTCCAGCGCTTTGAGGTCGCTGATCTGTGCGTTGGCTGCACACACATCCGCCTGCAGCTGGAGGTTGTTTTCCTGGATAGCTGCATGTTCGCTTTTCAGAGCTTCAGCCTCGGCCTGGAGTCTGTCAAAGTCGCTCTTCATACCCTCCGAGTTCCCCTGCAGCTCATGCAGCCTGGAACTGGTACCAGCGACCTCCTCAGCCAATTGTGTGCACCTGCCGCGCAGAGTCTCACATTCCGCCTCGACCTTGCTAGCTGATTCTTCAAGATCCTTGATCTGGGCCTGAGCTGCGGCTGCTTCTTCAATTAGTCGAAGATTATCTTGCTGCAGCTTGGATCTCTCACCTTCCAATTCGCTGACAGTGGTACGAACAGCTGCCAACTCCTTGGCACACTCTTCCTGTCCAACAGTGGCAACCTGTAGAAACAAACCGCGGCACAGCAATAGTCAGGGAGAGCAGGAACATGCCACAGTTGAAAGGAACACAAGCTGACACGAGTAGTGCCTTGCACATCATGTCCAAAATCACTCCCATAATTGCCATGGCAAAGGAGTTGGATGTCCACAAGTCGTGATGGATGCCCTGTCTTTACCAAACAAGGCAGCTGTGGTGAGCAAAGATGGACCAAGGATGGCTTGCCAATTAGCCATCGTCAAACTCACATACAACAATAGTGGTCTGGTTCAGTATGTGTACACTGCAAGGGTTTTGTCGATTGCAATGCTAGAGTTGAAATCGACAGAAATCTTGGTAATAAACAACTAGATGTGCGGTTATCTACTGAATGGGTGCAGCGATGCCCAGAACATGGAGAAGACGTCTCCAGCATGATAGCAAGCAAGCAATTGTCTCAGGTGCAGTTGCAAGCATCGTACATTCCGATGCTTTAACCACATTCTGTTGCAACACAAGAAGACAAGACCAGAGCAGCAGAGACTTGAAAGGCAACAAGCCCAGCCAACAAGCCATACCCAACAACACACATCTGAACAGCACGAGCGACCCACATCACCACATATCATGCCAAACTGCTCAAGCAATGCACAGTCTGAGGGACTGCATGGGCGCCCCAGTACTGCCAAGGCACCTTCAGCTGGTCTGAGAGGCTGGTGCACTGTGTGGACAGGGACACCATGTCCGACTCCAATTGTGCTGCACGCGCGTTGGCACTGTCAATCATGGTCAGCTGGCCATCTCTCTCTGATCCCAAGGCCAGCACTTGTTCCTTGGACCGTTGCAGCTCAGCAACAGCTTCAGCATGGTTCTCCAAGGCAGCATCCCTTTCCAGCTTGACTTGGGATACCTGTCAGATGCCAGCCAACACACCACCAAGTCAACACAGTTAAGCAATCACTTTGGTCAAGCTTTTGTTGGCTCACAGCATTTTGCTCCCTGGAAACGATCTACAGGTCCTCGCCCTCCATCCCAATTTTGCAGTTGGACACAAGAGCACAACGTGAATGCTGTTCCTACGCAACCCTATCAACCAATGAACAGATTCCGGATGGCCCATTTTGTGTGCATTTGTATACCCCATTTCTCAAATTATTCCATTGATTTTGTGTGCATTTGTAGCCCGTTTCTCAACTATTCCACTACTGGGGGGGATGTTCACAATTTTTCCAGTTTATTTTTTCCCTGTGGTTTAGGGTCGGCTGCATGGCAAACAACTGTTGGGCTCCAAAGGTGTCTGAAACAAAGAGCAGTCCCACACCTGCTTCTCAGCCTCCAGGACACGACCTCTGAATTCCTCCTTCTCGAGCTCCAACCCATCCATCTTTGCCTCGCTTTCCCTTGCCTCTGCTTCCAGGAACTCAACACGCTGCCCCAGTGAGTCTGACAACCTCTCAAGCTCATTCTTTGCAGTACCAAGGCTATCACTGAGGTTCACTTCCCTCCTGTGCAGATCTGCATTCTCGTTCTCCAGCTCGCTCACCCTGCTCGACCACTCCCTCTCCAAGACTGCCATGGCTGTCGCATGGTCCTCTTTAAGGCTCTCTTCAAGGCTGCTGATCTTGCCTGTGAGCGTGTCCCGCGTCTGCTCAAGCTCATATGACATTTGTTCTGCCTCTCTTTTCTGGGACGTCACTGCAGCCAGGCTCTCTTCAAGCTGCTCAACCCTGGTAGCATTGGATGCTGAGGTAGCTTCCAACTCCTGAACACAACGCCCAACTTCCAACAGCCTCTGTTCCACAACTGATTTTTCCTCCAGTGCCTCTTGCACCCTGTTTTCAGAAGTTGATAATTTGGCTTCAGCACCAGCTAACCTCTCTTCACATGACTCGAGTTTAGCAGTAGCCTCGCCCAGGTTGGCTTCAGAGACTGCCAGGCTCTCGCTCATCTTGACGAATCTAACCTCAAAATCACTGTGCCTATTCTCTGCTTCCTGGAGTTGGTGCTGCAACAAATCGCGTTCCTGCTCTGCAGTTGCCAATCGGCCCTTCAGATCACTCTGGCAGGATTGGGCCTTCTCTTGGCTTTCCAGCAGACTTTCCTCGAGCACAGTTGCCCTGTCTCTGCACTCCTTGCTGACTGCTTCAGATTCTGCCACCTTCGCTTCCAGGTCCTGCTTCTCCGCCACTGTAGCAGCAAGCACCTCCTCAACTGTTGTGAGCTTCTCCAAGGCATCAGCAGTGTTCTCAGCATTGAGCTCAAGATCTGCGCACACTTTTTCCAAGTGGTCCACCCTTTCGCATGCCCCACTCTTCTGAGCCAAAACTTCAGTGATTTCTGCTTCAAGCCTGGACACAGTTTCAAGGGCTGCCTTGAGCTCATCTTCAGACTGCTGCGCCTTTGACAGCGTCTCTGACACCATGGTCTCAGCTTCAGCACATTCTGCAGCCAGGGCCGTCGCCCTGTCGTTGGCAGCTGCCAAAGCAGCAGTGACCTCACTTAATTTTTCTTCCGTATTAGCACACCTGTCCTCTGTCTCTGCAAGGCTCTGCTGCAGTTCTCCGCACGCCAACTCCTGGACACTGAGCTGCTTCTCAACTTTAGACAATGCCTCTGAACGTCTCAGCAGTGTGTCATATTCTGATGCCATTTTCTCATTCTTGACATGAAGTTCTTTCACCTGAGCCTCGGCTTCCACGTTACTCCCCTGCAGCTGTTCCATTCTGGACTGATACTCATGCACATCAGCCTCAAGGGCGCTCACAATACTCTCTAATTCAGTCTGCCTTGCCTGCATATCACGTGCAGTGTGTTCAGCCACTGCAGTGGCCTCAAGCATCTGCTCTTTCTCGCCTTTCAGCGCACTCATTTCAACTTCGTTGCTGGCCTTCTCCTCTTCCAGCTCTTCAATCCTTGACATTGCTGCTGCCAACTGGTCCTCTGAATTCCGGAGAGTTCTCCGAAAATCTTGTGCCCATTCTTCTGCCTTGGTGGCCTCCTGTATCCTCACGCTCAACTCCTTAGATATTTCATCTCTTTCCTTCCTCAATTCAACCACAGCCTCACCAACAGCCTTCGATTCCATCAACTGTGCCGAAAGCATGCGCTTCTCAACTTCAGCCTCATCAAGACAGCTTATCACAATCGACAAACGAGCAGCAAGTGCTTCCTCTACCACCTTTGCACCCTCCATGCCTGCTACCGCTTCCTCTGAATCATCAAGAACCTTTGCCAGTTGCTGCACCTCTGAACTGGTCCTAACTATCTTTACAGGCATATCCTTTGTTTGCATGGAAGTGCTTCTCACCTCTGAGAGCTCCTCCTCCAGGGTTGCAACCTTAGCCCTGAGGTTGCTCATCTCTGACACCTCGGCACTCAGATCTTCCAACTGTTTCTTGAGCTGTTCCCTTTCATTGACAAGCTGCTCCAGCTGGTTGTACACGTCAGCATGCTGTTGTTCAAGGGAGAGCACAAGCTTCTCGCTTGCCTCCAGCTTCTGCCTGAGTTCTTCCTTATCACCCTGCAAGCCAAAACAACAACAATTGAGAACTCAACTTGCTGTGCTGCAGTCTCCACGCCCTCAACTTCTCTGAACAATACCTCAAACCTGCAAATCGATGCCAGCTGGCAACCATGCAGCAAGCAGGTGTAGAACAACGGCTGCGACTAGAGGACACATAAACATTGCAAATGCTTTCCATCATTTCTGATCTTCAACAAGCATGCAGTGGGGATTGCTCAGCACAAGTCCATCAGTGCAAAGCAGAAATTCATAGAGCCCAAAACTGGTTACCATGGCGTGGTGGTGCCTCCTGCGGGTGGATTCTCCTTGTGATTCTTCATTTTCGCTTTGGACGTGGAACTCTAAATCGCTGCCAGAGTCGACTGTAGCGCCACGGGCCAATTCCGCCTCCAGTGTCTCTTTCTCTTTCACTGCCTAAACAATGCACAAGATGGCGCTCAAACCTATCTCACCTCCTAAAAGATCCACACAATATATTGCACAGTGCTTCTCGTTGATTAACATGAGTGCAACACCCTGCAAGGAACACATAGCACAAGACGTCGAAGTGCCCAGCACACAGTGGCCTGCAGTGAAGTTTGACCAAACCAGCAAAGCTAGTAGCAGTGGCCTTGGCGATTCTGAATTCACACCAGCTGAACCTCCATGCAATCAAGGACACAGCAACAGCCGACAAACCGCTGTGCTCATGCTGCTGTCTTTAGACATCGTGTGAATATGGCAAATGCTGAGTATTGTTATCAACAAGACAATGCAATTGAAGGTCACCTCTTCTGCCAGCAGTTTGAATTTGGCAGCCTCTTCCAGTTTTGCTGTCCATGTTGCCTTCTCTGCTTCAAGAGCTGCCAGCCGACTTCTCAACCCCAGCACTTCACAATCTTCCTCCTCTTCTTCCTCCTCTTCATCTTCCTCACTATAGTCTTTGTTCACACCTTGTGACTGGAGACACACAGCATTGCATGTTAGTGGTCCTAGAGTGTGGTCCTAGAGTATATAGTGCTGCTGTTTTCATTTGACTGCCTTCTTGCCGGTCATCGTGTTGCTGGTGTTCTAATGTGCAAGCCGCAGCAACACACAAGGGAATGCAGAGATATCATTGAGTTATCACAAACCATCAGCGGCGAGATCAGAGCACTGTCCCCTTGCTAGTTCACTCTCACCCAACAGCGCTCCCCTGTATCCATCCATAATTACTATTCTTTTGGCTGGAAAGCAGGTGCTTATCTGTCATTTTGGTAGCAGTTGAGATTTGTACACGCACTTCCAGCATCACACAGATTGGCCTCACTGGTGGCAAATCACGTTGCCTCAAAATAAACTGGACATCAACAGGACGATGCGATCCAAAGCAGAAGTCACCGAACCCACTGCAGTATTACACAACAACAATCCCCTCAAAGCAGCACACTGATAGGCAGCAACGCAACCCTTCATCCATCTGCATGATACACCAAACAAAATGAGGCACAGCAAAGAATTGTTCACATCCCCTTGCATTGCAATGGTGTAGGCGCCTAGGGTATCATGTATTAGTGATGCTTGTGTACAGCCACAGCACGGGCAGGATCTGGCATGCGTAGTCAATGCACTATCAAAAGGACACAGCAGTGGATTTACAGTGTTAACGTACCACATGCACTGCTGTTAGCAGCATTGCATCCGTGATACCATTGATCACCTGTCTCAAGTTGTCCAGCTGGGCATGGAGGTTGTCCTCCTGCTCAACAGCTGCCTGGCAAGCGGCCCTCAGCTCCTCCTTCTCAGCCTGGGCCTTGGCCAGAGCCTCCTTCAGCTCAGCGTTCTCAGCGATCATCTTTTCAAAGCCAAAATTAAAGTCACTGTCTGGAGACTGCCGGGAATTGATAGTGATTGACTGCAAGGAAAACAACATGGCAATCAACATTCTAAAATGAGCCCCTTTGCTTCAGACTCAGCTGGATGGCATGCAACTGCCACATCGACATCACGATTGAGTGCAATGCATTCAACTAACTCTTGCAACGCTTCCCTGAAACTTGCAACAGTGACTGGAAACAAAGCTGCAGCAAAGCGATCACATTTGCCAGCATTTCTACAACAAAACAGTTCACATCACTGGCCAACAGGACCTGGCTCAGATTAATTTAGGGCTGATTGATGAGTACAACTTGAGAGCAAAAGGCAACCAGCAATCCTCGCACCACTGACAAGCAGTACTTGGAATGTGAACAGCTTAATCCGATGGATAGAAAAAGCTCCTTACAGCAGTCTGGCGTTGTGACTGCCAGACGGCAGAATGAAAGGCTATCTGTTAATTTTATGGGACGCTCCTGGTTGCAGGTAAGCTGCCAGTGTCCAACTGGTGTCACAACTTTACGCCACGTTGCAGATCTGATTGTACATTGACTGATGGGCAGTGGGCTGGCAATAGCAGCACTGAATCTAAACAGTGATCCCAGATTCAACACAGAACAGCAACTTCACAACAGAGTAAGGGAACTTCATTGAGCCCTTATCAACATGAAAAGATTGGAAGGAGTGGTTTAGCACCAAGTTCATCTGTCGAGTTGTGAATCCCAATCAACCAATCGATCCAGAGATCGATCAGTCCACATGCAGGAAGGAACATATTTTGTCAACAGAATGAAAGAATCCATGGAGGCAGATATCCCGCCTGCATCGTGTCAATGCATTTGATGCACATCATCCAGGTCACTTTATGTCCTCATTGGACATAATCGTTTGGTTGACTGCTGGACAGCGATTCCATCAACATCATCAAGAATTACCTATATCTTGTGGTGACAGCAATCGCATTTTCACTGCCTGATCAGCTTCTTTCCTTGAATCTGCAGCGGCAGTTCCAGCCCCACAGCATGCATGTTGCAATACATACAACGCGCAACAATGCACAGCAACTGTTCCATAGGTGTTCGCACGTGTGGCAAACACACCACACATACCATCATGTGTCGATACAGCATTTGTCGACACAGCGAATCAGTCACCACTGGCATGATTTTGATTGACACCTGACTGCTGGTGGAAAAATGTTTTTGCCCAGCAAAGCCTGATTGTTGTGAACAGTGCGGTTTGCGGCAAGTTTACAGATAATGTGCAAAATGGTGTGTGGCCACAAGGCTCCACCGCGGATTACCTCAGATGTCTGTGCAGGTAGCCCCATGCTGGATGTCACCAAGGTGCCAAACTGCTGGTTTCGATGCTGCCCACCGGTGGTAAAGGATGTGTCATTATCATGCTGAAAGCTCTGGCCCCTCTCAAGCGGGAAGGTCTGGCCCCTTGCATCAAACGACAGCTCGCTTGGCTCAAAGCCTGTGGCAGCAGAGGAACATTAGACAATCAAAACCGGCAGCAATTCCCATTTCATACACAATTGCATTCTCAGTGCAAATTCACAGTGCTGCCCTAGGTAGTCGACTGCCAGAAACTTGAGCAAGCATTGTTCGAAATTTTGTACTCGCACAATCAGACCACATGTAAACTGCTCCCACAACAAGTGGCAATACACATGTCTGCAAATTGACCTGTCATGGGGTCTTGAATTGCAAGTTTTGGCCTTGGTGTCTGTACTTGAGAGTTGAGGGTTTCAGGGGTGTACACTACAGCCATAAGCCTCCAACAGGGCTGGGGGTTTGTGCACTTTCTTCATTGCCAGGCTCCCAAGCATTCGCAGTGTCTGTGAAGCACCAGCCTACTCTGCCACTGTCCTGACAAGGAGACTTCCAGGCAAGTGGTCTAGCAGACTGGACACACACAACCTGGGCCATCAGCAAGCCCAAAACAGGGCCTGCATGAGCATGAGTGCTCAACAGAGCCACTATGCCGCGCATGGCAGGTTTGCAATAGCAGCGCACACACGCACATTCACGAGCTAAAATAGAGCCATGGATGCAAACTGTTCGCTATTTGTGCACAAAGAAGTCAACCCTCCAGTATTTCTCCATGGGTTTGATATAACACAGGCATTGGATCACATAGGCTTGCTCTGTTACTGCTCTGTCCATGGTCAGGATGCATGCAAAGTAGCGTAGATCATAGAGGATAGCACGGGGGATGTTGACTGGCGTGGGAGCCCTTAGATCACGCTCCTTGTGTTATTGAACATGGCCACTGCTGCACAGCACAGGGAATGTGCTTGATAGCACATGAGGTATGCAGCTCCCATGATATGACACCCTCATTCACTACAAGACGACAAGATGCAGCGATGCAACGCAGGAAATCGCAAAACTGTGGTGGTGACGTCCTCCCACTCCACTGTGATGGGCACCCTGCTTTAGTCCAGTAGTCAATGTGCTAAACTGGTCTGATGATCAGCATCAGACCATTACTGAATCATCGACTTGACGTGGTACAAAGGGAGCACACAAGATAATGCCCCCCTGTTCTTGAAGCCAGCCTTGATCGCCAATGCAAGGGGGGCATCCTCCGTGATCTATGGGACATGCATAAGGGTCCATGCAAATAGGACCCATGCCAGGTCCCAAGCAAGCAAAGGCAAGGTTCGAACTCACCTGCCAGGTCCTGCTCAGCAACCCTCTCGCGGCTCAGGGTGCTGACCCCCGACATCATCGACATCTCTGTTAACGTGTCTTCTGGAGCAAGGCCCTTGAGCATTACACCAGTGATGCTCAACCTCAGCACCCCAGCTGGGCGGCTCTTGCTAAACTCAAAATTGATGGGGATCTCCAGCACCTCGGGTTTGCTGGCCAAAAGTGTGGCATAGCGTGCCATATCCACTGTTGCTCTGCCAATTGTCAACATTTTTGAGTCTGACCCTTTCCCTGGAGATTGAATCTTGAAGTTGTATTCCTGAGAGTTAACAAAGCAATGCTCAGGCAAAGCAAAACAGGATATCCCAAAAATACGAACTTGCCAATCAACTACAAGAGAATGGCACAGTGACATGGAACTATTCAGCAGCTGGGCTTAACGATATTCATCATTGGCATCAAGCACAAACAAACGTAAAAGCAGCAACTACAATCAGTTTTGACATTCACAGCCACCCACATGCACCTATACATCCTCTTGCCATTTGTGGGAATCATTGCTGCAAGTTTTTCATATTGCACTCAAAGCTTCGAACACAGTCTCCATATGCTACTGACAGATCTAAGACCAAGAAATTAGTGCTGGGAAGGAAGATGTCCTTGGCTTGACATCTTCCCTCCTCTCTCTGTAGCTTCTTGCTATGCCAATAGATATGCATCCACACACGTTGCACTGAAATGGCGACAAGTGCAAGGCAACAATCATCATATAGTTTGGGACTTTGGAACCAACTTCTGCATCGTACCAGAAGGTCCCACCAAATTTCTTGCTCAGCACTGGGCTTCTGTTGCATTGCTAGTGTTTTCTTTGTTGCAGCAGTTTCTTCTAGGCGCAAAGGCAGTGTTTGTTCTCCAACGGCAAAGCTGTCAACACGAATTCAAGACTGTTATCCAGACAACAAACTCCTGGGGGTGCCATCAGGGGCTGGTCTTTCTTTTGAGTGAACCATGTGTCAACAAGTCGTACAAAATGGCCATCCACCGAAGCCATCCACCCATCTGCCTTTGCAGCACGCCAATAGCCGTATCATTCCTTGCCTCCCAAGGCATCAGACCCCACGTTCGCTCACTGTGACCAAGGGACATTCGAAAGGACAGCTACCTTTGGCTCCAAGGTGTTCTCTGATGCCTTGTACACTGTGGCCACCTGGGAAAGCATCTCATCGAACTTGGCCACACCTGAAAACAGGAAACTGTAAAATAAGAAGCAGAAACTAATGCACATCAATGGCATCTTCACCTTGCAGTGACAAGCCGTTCTTACGTGGGGGGTGTGCACAGGGTTTTGAAGCAGTGTCCCCTGAACAAGGGGACAAAAACTAACTATATCAGACCACTTCCCATTGCATGTTCTTTCCATTGCCTATGTGTGTTTCCCTCCACAAGACACGCAAAGAGCATTCTCGCCCTGTTGAAAATCGGGCACAAGGGGAGTGCCCACAAGGGGCTATGCTCTGTGCCTACAAGGCAAGCTCCTCGTGCCATTTGAAAACATTCCAACAGGAAGGACAGCACAGGAAAACAGTGCCAAATTTGACAACTTGCAGAACATGATTGTGATATTGTCAGAACCCAGGCAGTGCCTTCGTCCTTGAACAAGGCTCACTCACCACTAGCTACCATTGAAAGCTTCGTCATCTGCACTTTGGGCCCCCGGGACCACACCACGCGGCATTGTTTGACTGACTTTGAAGGCACACCCCTCAGGTCGAGGCAGCGGACATCGAACCTGAATTTGACAGGCACCTTGCCCTCCCTCTTCCTCTCCAAATGTCGAGATATCTTTTTGAACATGGCTGCCCACCCCACCTACCCACACCTGAGCAAGCGAACAAGACAACTGCACAGCATGAATTTAAGGCAAAAGCCCACAAGTCCACGTGCAATGCTTGGCAAAAGAACTAACCAGCTGGCCAGTCGCTGCACTGGCAGTTGCAACGTGCTGAACCAATTGACTCAACAGGGAACATGAAAGTTTGATGGGAGATGCCGTGCTGGACAAGGCCAAGGTTTCCTAATTGAAGAATGCTGCCTCAAAGCTTCCCCTGATGTACATCCAAAGCCACATGGAGACATGGCTGTCAAGCCATGGGTGCAGCAGCTTCTCCTCCATAAGGGGAATGGTCAAGGGAGGTTTGGCCCTTTGGATTCCTCCAATTCAGTCACGAGGCTCCATTTCCACGAACTGCTCCACAGAAAAAATCTACTTCTCATAGTGGCAGCAGCCAGCCGTTGGACTCGAGACCCAGCCCAGTACCGCCCACAAAAATGGGGCGGCAGGAAGCTGGTCCTCTGGCCCCCAGGCGCTGACCCAGACCTACAAATGCCTTTCCATCAGATTTGGCCTAGTCCCCATCTGCCAACAAGCCACCTCAGTTGCGCGGCGAAATCCGCCCTTCGACCCAAACGACCGCGCGGGCCTACGGTCCAACCCTCACTTCGCGCCCAAGCGCCGTCCCCCCCGACATCCATTCCCTCCGCCTCCGTGCCCGCCCAGGAGGCGACGGATCGCCATCCGACGACCGCACGGCGAGCGTGGCCTCCGGCCGCTTCCGGCCCGCCGCTCCTCGGCGCCAAGACGTGGCGACGACCCTCGAGCGGCTGTACACGCGCGGTGAGGTACCGGGCGCCATCCCAAGGGCGCCAGGACCAAAAGCCGGGGCAGTCGATTACACCAAACCCTGTCGACCCAGTGGCCAGATTGCGCCTCGCCGCCGGCCGCCACGGGCGCATTGGCCCCCGGCTCCACGGTTACGATGTACGGACGGGCGGCTCGCACCAGGCCTCGTCACAATTTTCGCTCTTTGGGGGCCGTACCGTGTGACGAGGGGACGTCCGAGGGAGGGTCGACGGACGGTCCCGCGAGGCGGTCACGAGGCCAAGGCGCACCTCGAATCTCCGGCGCGAGGGGCGAGGTATCCCCTTCGGACCTCCGGAGGGGCAGGGGCAGCGAGGCGGAGAGCGGCGGCGCTTCCGCGGGTTCGTGCCTACTGGGATGGGGCCCCAGGGGCGCCGAAGGGAGGTGCGGGGACCAGCGACGGGCGGAAGAGTGGCCGGCGATGATAAGGGGGGTGGAGTAGGATCGGAAGCGATTTCGGCGCCAAAACAAGCGCCGAACGGCGACGCGCGAGCGGGATGCGGCCGAGCGGAGGCATCCAGGGGGAGCTGAGCTTTTAGAAATGGCGCCGGTTTCTGGCGAGCGACTGGCGACGCGCGCGCTCACGGAGGGCGGAAGTCCCCGCGTCCTCTCACCCCGACGATTACGACCCCCGCCTGCAGCCCGCATGTCCTTCGCGCTACGCGGCAGCCCGAATGGATGAACGGTCAGCGCACCGCGGGCGCGGGGCCTGCGGGGCCATGCGGCTGACGGGCCGGCGGCCAGCACCGCCGGGAGAGAGATCCGCCCACCTGGGGTGTCTGGGGCGCCCAGCGCCGGGCACGCTCGCACCCCGCCCCGCTCCCCCGCCACACGGACGCGCGCCTGCCTGAGCGAAGGTGAACTGGCGCGGGGGGTCTCAGGGCTGGCGCCAATACATACCGCCCTGTGTCTCATGTCCGTGCGCCCGTCGTTGCTGACACACCGACGTGGCGTCAGGCAGGGGGGCCCGTCAGGGGGGTCCGAGGGAAGGTGGGATGGGACAGTGCGACTCCCGTCGCTGCCCTGGGGTGCCACGCGAGCGACCCAGTGCATTGGCCGCTCCCAAATTAGGGGCCCCGCAAGGCGCTGATTGGAAAGTGGGGCACTGATTGGAAACTGTAGGCGTTGGCATGACGCGGGGGTGATCCGCCGCTAAGTGTCCCCAGCGCTGGCGGACGGGCGCGAGGGTTTATTGATGCGAGGAAACGAAGTGTCAATCAAGCGGTTCAGCGCTGCAGCGCGCATGGTGTGTCGGCACGAACAGGCGCGCACTTTACAAACCCTCACAACCCCCTATATCACACAGCCCTAGCCACATTGCTGGGCCCAGTCACGCGCCCATATGCACACCCCACTCACAATACAGTCACCACATACTCGTAGTATTGCTCAACAGCGCTCACCGCCGTTCCTGTTGCACACTCGGCCGCTCGCACTTGGTCCGGTCTTCGCAAAAGGGCCGCAACCACCGGAGCCTATTCTTCGCAGCTATGGGAGGTGGTGAACTCCCTAGGCCACAGTCTGCGGCGGAGAGAAATGCGGGGGAGGATGCAGGTCGCCAGGATGCTATAGGCTCAGCGGTGTTCATATCGTAAAAGCCTCAGGTGCATGGATTGATGAGCTGTAGAATGTATAGTACATCTATCTTTGCACACACAAGTAATATTTTTTTGCAGCTTTCGGTGCACACATAGATGTAAGCATCTGCAAAGTGTTTGGGTTGTTCGATTACAGTCCAATTTGTTCAAGTAAATGGCCATCACTGTAATCGAGAGAAAACCGTAGAGAAAGGAAGGCCAATGTGCTCAGCAGAAGTCACCTTGAACCGCATGACATACGGTTACATTTGGCAGTCCTGCAGCTGCTGAATGCTCAAGGCAAACGTGTGCACGCTCAGCTTCTCTCCAGTGCACATGAATCGATGCATTTACAGTTGAGACATCCTCCATCTCGCTGCTTTGCATTGTCACTCAGCAGAACCGTCCAGAATGATCAACAATGACGTCAATTGAAGAGCACCCTACGGGCAGCACGGATGGCTGTGACTGGGCTGTGAACTGGTCAAGGAAAAGGGCGAAAACTAGTCAACTAGACCCGCATACTGACGGGATACAATACAGTTTGTCAGTGATGGAATTTGGGTGTTGTTCGTGACGCCACATAATGACCACCGTTTTCACTGGGTGGATCACTTATGTAACTGGCGTACGAGGGGTATCTGCCGTATGCGCTGTATGCACTGCATGGGATGGCCCGAGTATGCCACCATTGCTGAATTAAAAAGAAAAAGAAAACAAAGAGGAAACACTCCGAAAATGAGTTATGAGCGGACAGCTGCAAACCTTAGGAGTGAGAACGAGGGCGGTGTAAGGTTAGGGAGACAAGGGCTGGATATAAGATGCCACCCTGTGTTCTCAACAGATCCGTGTCACCAGTCAGCTCCCCAGACTGACTGGGTTCAAAGACGATTCTGGGAGGTCCTGGACCTCAAGGGCCCAGGCTGGGTGGGTGAATTGGGATGAGCCTAGCTAGCACATCCCTGGTCTGAGAAAGACCATCTGGGCTGCCTGACCTGACGAGGAAAGGCGTATAGTCCAGTAATTCACATGAAAAAACGGGGTTTCATGTGATGTGTAAGGTTACGTTCAAGCGGAGGTCTTGAAATGCACTTACACACACAGGTCTGACATGGCAGGTGTGCTGGCTCTGTGGGATTTCAGAGACCGGACACGGTGTCAGTCCTTGTGCTATGCAAGGCTATTTTTAGCTCTCTCACTAAAAAATCCTGCATGCACTAAAAGTCATGGGCCAGGATGGCCATGACAAGCTCAGCACACGATTAGGGTGAGGGAGTGAGAGCCAGAAGTAGGTTGGCTCCCCTCATCCTGTGTGCTGACTGTGTGTTTTACACTTCACCCATGGTTGGCTGTGCAAGCCACACCGAGTTGGGACAAAGTGTTTAGTTATTGAGGGAAAAGTTGATGAGAGTTGGCCTAGTGGAGAAAAGGAAAACGTGAGAGGGTGATGGTAGTTTTGACAAGACAAGTGCACCGGATTGTGCATGGTCCTGTGAAAGGACCGACAGCCCGTCCATTGCATTCTGAATGGGGAGGGCTGACTACTTTTGTCAGACCCTTAGAAAGGGTTGTTTTGTCTTTAAAGTGGTTGTGTGTAACACCACTTTCTTTTCTATGTTTTGTGTAGCTGCCAATGCATTTTTTTAGCCCATGAGCCATGCACACCTCCCCTTGCTGGTGTGGGACACAAGGGAAGAGTGGCAATGTGTTGTGAGGGGTTTGCGCAGGTGCAAGGGCGCATTTTGTATACTTGTAATAGTATGGAATTTGATCAACTTGAAAAGGGAGCCAGTTGTTGAGGTTCTCTTGAGAGAGGCTGCCTAATCTTGTGTGGGTACCGTTTGGAACGTGTTCCTGATCACTCTATTGGGTTTAGTCTTGCGCCTTTGTAGTGGTTGAGTGAAGTCAAAGGGGCTGGACATGTTGCTTTTGAAGTTTGGATACATATTCAATGTTTTAGATTTGGGGCTGCGTGCATTGCCTCATTGCAACATGTCTTTGTGTTCCAAGTACTACACAATGCTTTAAACGCCCAGCCACTGCTATGGCGCTTTGTTGCACACGGGAGGCGCAGCCCCATCCTGAAAAATGCATGAAATGGTCTTGATTGTGTAGTCATTTTGGTGACGACGGTGTTGCGGTTGTGGGGTGGCTTGGACCGTTTGAAGGGTCAACTGGACTGTTTGAAGGGGTCAGACCAGTGCGTTTTGTGGACGTGCAAACGCAGTTTTGTGATTGATACGTGTGCGTGTGGCTGTGGCCGTTGGGCACCACGTTAGGCCATACGACACTTGAGGTGTCCCGGGCATAAAAAGGTGCCCCGCAGCACCGCAAAGTGCCACACCACCAAACGCCCGCTGAGAAAGCGAGCCGGGGGTGGCGGCCGAGGAGGCCGTGCACCCCCACTCAGAGTGGCAAGAGGGCGGGCACTGCACCCACAAAGGCGCCGTTTCGGCGCCTCGTCCGTTGGGCGGTCTGCCCAACGATCCCTTCAAGGCATCCCTCGAATCTGATTCGGGGATGGCCACAAACGCCCAAAGGACGCCGAGAAGGCGCCCACTGCATAACCAAGGCAAAAC